CACCATCAGCTTTCTTCACCACATTTGCTTATTCACCGCTTTGCAAAATCAGTTTTTTAACCATTGAGTCACAGCAGATTTCTTTCTTAATCAAGGAGGAAATTAGTTGGGGGGAGAGTTCTTTATATATTAAAAACTCAAACTTTCTTGTTTCTAATATATGAGTTGATTTATTCAACAACTGTGTGAGTACACACAAGGCATTTTACAGTTCTTTTGCAGTTAAATAGTAAACACAGCAGAACTTACATAGAGCTTACACTGAAGAGTAGAAATAACCAAACCTTCAAGTACATAACTCTTTAAATTCAATCATGATGTTAATGTGTTGTCGTTAGGAGTCCTGGTAGCATAGTGGTTACCGTACACGTTGGGCTGTAATCACATGGTTGGCAGTTCAAAACCACCAGCAGTTCACAGGAGAAAGACTGGGCTTTCAACTCCGGTGAATAGTCTCAGAAACCCACAGGGGGTCGTCCCTGTGAATCAGCATTGACTTCGATGGTGGTGACTGATGTGAGGTGCTGGTCATGCAGTTCCAACTCGTAGTAATTCTGTGCACAGCAGAATGAAGTGCCACCTGCTCTGGACCATCCTCACAATCGTTGCAAGTTTGAGCCCAGCTCATTTCGGTCCTTCTGTTCCCATGATCATCTACTTCACCCAACATGCTTTCCATCTCCAGGGACTGGTTTCCTCTAACAGAACCAAAGTACTTAAGATGAAGTCTCACTATTCTTGCTTCTAAGGAGTATTTTGTTCATTCTCAGTTTATGATATAGTCAATATTCTTCAACCAACCATAATTCAAAGATACCATTTCTTCCTTGGTTTTCCTTATTCATTGTCCAGCCTTTGCATGCACACGAAGTCATTGAAAATGCCTTAACTTGGGTAAGACACAGCTTAGTCTTTGCTTTTTAACACTAGAAAGAGGTTTTTAATATAGCATCTGGCGTCGTAAAGGCTTGTCTTAAAACCCTCATCTAAGTGAGGAGTTAACTAAGTTGACGTGGAAGAAGCCTGTGTGATCCAGAATAACCAACCTCACTGCCATCTAGTCAATGCTGGATCACAGTGATCTCCCGGGGCTTAACTATAAATAACCTTCATCATTCAAAGTGATGAAGCCAACCGGAAACTAAAGTGAAATGTTTAGATGTCAATCTGTGAGTACGACTTGAATACCACAGGCAAACCAACCAACCAACTCACTGCCAGGGAGTCAATGCTGACTCAGAGCAATCCCCTGTGAGAGTCCAAGATTGTGGCTATTTATGAGTAGAAAGGCCAGTCTTTCATCCCACCAACCTGCTGGTGGTTTTGAACTGTTGATCAGGCGGATCGCAGCCCAATGTGTAACCACTTCACCACCAAGGGCCCGCTTGTGTGATCCGAGGATGGTAAATAATAAAATCCACATTTGAAGGAGATAATGGCATCAGAGCTTAAATTGTGAACACCTGGTTTACGGAAGGCTGTGGGTAACAGTGGAAGCCCAAAATCCATTTGTGGGCTTCACACATGGATTAAGCCTCCCATGAATC